ATATATATATATATATATTATATATATATATATATATATATATATATATATATATATATATATATATATATATAATTATATATATATATATTATATATATATATATATATATATATATTATATATAATTATATATTATATATATTATATATATATATATATATATATATATATGTAATATTTATATATATATATATATATATATATATATATATAATATATATTATAATATAATTAATATATAATTATGTATAGTAATTAATTATATATATACAGTATATATCATGAGTAATATATATATATTATATTAAGCTATCACTTACTAATACACACACGATTATTAGTTAATATCTGTATACATAGTTATATTATATAAGTATTATTTAGTATATACTAGTATTATATAGTACTGTAGCATTAATATAATAATAATACTATACTATAATATTATATATATCTATTATAGTATATATATACTTATACTGATAATACTTATCGTATTCGAAGTTATTAATACTATATTACTACTTGATAGTATATATATATAAATGATATGATAATAAATATATCAAAATTAGGTATATAATACTAGTGTGAAATTATTTATCATATAATTTATAGTGTATTATAATATATATATTATATATTTACGTAATATATATAATATATATGGTTATATTATATATATATAATATATATTTTACTATATAATATGATTTCTAAGACCTATATACTTTAATCATGTAATATGTATTAATAGTACATATAAGATATCAATATTAATATTATACGCATAAGGCTACATAGTAATACTATATATATATATATATATTTCAAAGCTATTATAGTGTATATATAATATAGGGCACGCGTAGAATGAGATATATATAATATAACTTACTACTATATATATATTATATATATATAATAGTATTATATAGTATATATTATATATATCATATATCTATATTATATTATTATAGTTATATTTATATTATTTTTATATATATAATATATATGTATAGATATTATATATATATAGAGTTATATTATCTAAGCTATGTTTATTGAATGTATGATATTATTATATTAAGTATATAGTATATTGTATATATATATATATATATATTATAATATATATATATATTATTATATAATATATATATGTATGGATGGTATAGTATATATATATAATAGTATATACTTATATATATTATTAATATATTATAGTATATTATATATATAGTAATACCCTAGTATATATATTCCCGGTCCGTATTATAGTCGTAGTAACTAGATTATCGTATGTGTATAACAAGTTATCGCGCTACTATATTTTGATAAGCTAGAGTCATATATAATAACTACTAATACAAATTTTATAAATTTACCTTTTTCCTTTCTATTTTATTCTGTCTTTTCTTTCTGCCCTTCCCTCTTTTTTAAGCAATCAACCAAAACAAAATGGTAGGACTTGGAACCTTGCAGTCAGGTTATCACCTTCTCCCATGAGCTTGGACAAAACTCTAATATGGTAACTTCTAACTCCCATTATTCTGTGTATGGTGTATGCTGTATTCATGCTGTCTCTGTGTCTGTTTATGTAATATGTTTATTTTGCAGAGGCTTGCACTGTCTGTAGTCAAGATGAAAAAAGTTTGTGATGTAAGTGTACCATATTCAAGGTAAAACTTCACCTAGTCACCATTTTAGTGTTCAGATATAACCATATGGTTGTGACACATGACAGATGCTTTTTTCTCTGTATTTATACATAATGGTATTAAGTTGGAATTGAAGAATTGGGTAATGAAGTTAGAAGAACATCATGTACTCAAAAGAAGTTTATTTTTTGTGTGTAAAAGATTTGGTTGCCATTTTATAATATGGTAGTATTTTACTGTTCAATAGGTAATAATGTACAGTGGCAGATTTTTTTCTTTCTTTCTTTCTTTTTTCAAGAATGCACCAGTCTTGGCATGATGGTTTTTCTAGCAGAGTATTTAAATGTCGGAGCCATATGCCACAAAAACATATCTGCCTTACTTTAGTGTGGGAACTAGCTACCAGTCACCATTTTTAGCACAATTGTGTTGGGTAATTATTTTTCTTGGCAGGGATTAGAAAAATGCTTGCAGAATTTTTAATGTTTTTATATTTCAGTAAGCCCATCATATTATTACAAGATAGATATGTTTATTTAAGGGTGGGGTTACAACAGATAAATATGCTATACATCAAAGGTCATATAGGGGGAAATAGCTCAAAATACTGTATTTTTGCATAGTGCTGTAAGGAATATGCTGATTTATAGCACTAGAATCAAATTCATTTATTCTTGTATTTAACTCTCTATTTATGTCCCCTCTGTTCCTAAGTATGAACAATGGTATTTATGACCCTTCATCCTTTTATTATTTGTTTTTATGTTCATATCTTTTTATCATATGATTTTAATTTCTACCTTAATTTCATGCTCCTGGTATTCATGAGAATCTCAAGGTGTCGAGTTGAATCATCCCTCAGCGTCCAACTATCTACCTCGCTGTCGACTCTCTTCTTGTGATCAAACACGTCCCTTGAGAATTTAACAAAGGTCTCAGATGTGTTTTTCTACTTAGTGTTATCATCGTCTCTATTATTATTGTATTATTAT